TAAAAAATTTAATTTGCTCAGGATAATCGTGACTAATCCATAAATTTAACAATATCAAGAATATTTCCTAGTATTCATAACGCTTGTTCCGGTATCCTTCTCAGAGTTTGTAAACATACTAATTCTAAGTAAACCCTCTGACGGAAATGTTTAATGATTTGTTATTTTAAACAACGAATTCACTAATTTCAGTCTTACTTCTCCAGTTACCAATAAATTGCTCGGCTTAATCACTTAATCAAGTGTACAGCTATGTACATCATTATAGGCTATATAAAATCCATTGCGCGTGAGTAAACCGCTTCATCACCAACAAACAGCTGGACCAATTGAGACCATATTCACACCCTATATTATTGAGTTGGCGAGTAACTTTTTTAGTTATATTTCATACCAATATGTGACGCTGGAGTCTAACTTCTATATTTATGGGCCGATTTAGCTCATAGTTGCAGGAATTGTTCGTTGATCCAAAATAGAAAAATGCCAGCGATACCACGGTCAAACATCGGTTGATGTACCCAACGTAATATAGAGGACGCATTGAGAAGGCAAAATAGAATGGGAAAGAGGCGGAACAACGTTCACCGGGATCAGCTAGTATAACTATAAAAAGCTGGTTATTGTTTAATCATTACATGCCTAAGTGTAGTGATAGTTATACTTTATATTCACGAAGACTTCCTTCAACTTTTGTTAGGGTACTCACACAAATTATATTTCTATGTTTTTTGTCCTGTGTATTTTTTAAATATGTAAATACATATTTCGTGTTTTAAGTTATTAATAAATAAGCATTGCATTACAGAGAATATATTTTATTTAAAAGTTTTGAAGTTTATAAAAGTTACAGATGCCTGGCAATTTTTAGGTCTGGAGAACGAATACGATAGTTTCTTTGCATAGTTACTTAGACTTACGGAAGCTTCGGAAAATGAAAAAAAAATTGTTATTAACACATTTAAAATGTAATATCCAAGCATCATCGAATAATGTTCAATTAACCAAATTTTTAAAAAATTATTTAAACGTATTTTACAAATAGTCTACTTTATTTTGTTATAGCTCTGTGAAATTTTTAATACCTAAATTATTTAAATAAGCCCACTGAATAAAATTTTTTAAGTGTGGGTTGTTCTTTATTTTCCTTTAAATAATGACACAGTTCACTTTATATTACACTTTTCAAGTGAACGATGCAAAACCTAAGGTATGTTTGATCGATTATTTCATACTTACTCTTCGGCCTTCGCTACACTTGGCCAATCACCGTTCCCAACGGTTTGTTAAAATTATATACTTAAATTATGAAACCATTAATAATTATTTTATGATATCATGATTGGAAATATCTGTTTCTTTAAAGACGAAATTTGTTGTAGCAATCTCATGAAAACATAAATTGCCTCTCATATATGTAATGGCAGGTTCCACGTATTTTATGTTGAAACTACTTGCTATGTAGCACATAAAATTAATGTGAATTCTTGTTCGATGAAATCAGAAGTTTATTAATGATACACACACACACACAGTTATAGGTACGTATGTAATTATACTTTAGAGCCAGTTTGGAAGCACAACAATTGTCAACCGATTTCTGAACAAAATGGCAATCTGTTCCATTTGCCTATCACCTTATATTTATATATAGAATTTTAAATGTTTTATACTTGTTGTGGAGAGTGAATACTACTGCCTTATTTGACAACAAAAATACTTAATGTAACATTAGTAGGAATAGTTTACAAAATTATTGGAAAACTGGTCGATCGTTATGATTGACTGGTATGGTAAGTACGTTCGTATATTGATATGGTTAGTGTAATTGTGATAAAAGTGCCTTTGCCAATGACGAATGTGGTTAGAATATACAGTATTTTTAAGCATTTACACTGAATTGAATTGATAATTGCAAGCTAGGTTTACTGATAAGATAAATTAAAATGTAATGACAGATAATTAAGTTACTTGGCTTATGAAAGTACTTGGGGGCAGCACGCCATATATATTTCTACAGAGTTATAAATGTAAACTACTACTAACTGATTTTGAAATTAAATCTCTTCTAAAATTGCTTGTAATGAGCTTGGCTTATTATGCATTATGTCACTTAATGGAGAGCAGACGAGAGGATTAATAATTTACAGATCGTAACATGAATTTGACAGTATTAGAAGTATTTGGACCATGTGATCAAGTCAAAGCCACATGTTCACTATTAAATATAGTGCAGTTGCCAAGATCTAATAAAATAGATGAATACATTCGCACTGATTTTGAAGGCCCTGTAACTCCTTAAAACATAAATGGTGAAAGGTATTTTTATGTAATTGTTGATGATTGCTCACATTTCTGCAGTGTCTATTTATTGAAAACAAAGGATGAGGCAGAAGAAATTTTAATCTAATACATTACAAGATTGGAAGCAAGATTTGATGGCAAACAAACAGGTCATGTAAGATGTGACGATTCCGGTGAGTACTCATCAATTAACTTCAAAAACTTTTATTATAAGAGTGGCATAACATAAGTATATACAGTAAGTCCAAAGCCCGTATGTGAATGTAATAAGTGAACGAGTGATACGCACCCTCACAGACATAGTACGCACCTTGCTTGTTGAAAAAGGACTGCCAAAATATTTATGGGGAGAGACAGGTCGAACTAACTCATAACAATTAAATAGATGTCAAAAAGAAGCTCTGTTTGCTAATATTCCAGCAGAACTGTGCCATGGAAAATTTTACTTGACTAAACTTAAAGTTTTGGCAGTAAAGCGTGGGCATTAGTTAAACCAGAGAATAACAAACTAGATCAAAGAGCCAGAGAAGGTCTTCTGGTTGGGTTCAATGCCATTGGATACAGACTTTGGTACCCCAAAATAGGAAATATTACACGTTCTAGGGATGTAGAAGATACAAAGAAAATCGATGTGCCAGGTGGCAAATGCTGTCAAGAATGAGCAGACTTAAGGAAGACAAAACGGAAGAACCAAGAATTAAAAAGACAAGTAAAACAACCTGCTAAATTCGATCACTATGAAATGTATCATTAAAAAAATTAATACAGCATATTGTTTGTATGCAAATGATCCAGAAGACGTCAGTGAAACAATGCTATATGAGGGATCGCGTGAAGCTACACAACAGAAGCTGAATGCATTGAAAAACTTAAATGTGTTGACTATGTGTGAATTGCCAATTAGTGAGAAAGCCATTGAAACTCGATGGGTATTCAAGACAAAACAAGACGGTGTTAAATGTGTTCGACTTGTAGGAAAAGGATATTAAGAAAACATTTGCAGTGACAATTATTCACCAGTGACAAGGATGTCGACAGTAAGAATGATGTAGTCGAAAGCTGTTCTGGAGAATCTCGACTTACGACATCTGAACATTCCCACAGCATTCCTGAATGGAGATTTACAGAACACAGTGTGCAATATACCACCTGAAGGAGCAAACATTAAGAGATGTGTACTGAAGTTGAAGAAGTCTTTGTATGGCTTGTGGGAGGCTCCTCGTTGTTTAAATTATAGGATACACAATTTCCTCGTAAGACTAGAACTCTAACGCTCTAAGAATGACATATCTGTACATTGGGACAGATGTATCGGTGTTGATATTTGCAGACAAATGTCTGATTGTGGGTAATGGATGTAATATTGTGAAAGTTCTGGATGAAGAATTCAAGGCCAAGGATCTGGGTAAACTAAAATTTATTTAGGTCTAAATATTAAAAGGAAAGAAGACACTATGTATATTTCACATTCTGGCTTTGTGCAGATGACATTCAAGAACTTTAGAATGGAAGACTGCAAGAATGTAAGTACCCCAATGGAAATTGGTTTTCAAGTATCAGATGATGAAAAACACTAGATGTACGATTTAGAAAACTTGTATGGAGTCTGATGTTAATTTCCTTGTGTAGTAGAACAGATATAACTTTTGTTATCTCCTTCTTGAGCACATTTCACGGCAAAACATCAAACCAGCTATAGAAAGCAGGAAAACGGGTGCTGCGCTTTTTAAAGGCGACTCACGAACTGAAATTACTCTACAAGCAAATTCAAGATGGGTTTTTTAATTCCTATTCAGATGCAGGTTGGGTCAGAGAATCAAAAAGCAGAATAGGTGTATCAGAAGTTGCTGTCTACTTTTGTCGTATCATGATCCCATGGACGTCAAAGAAGCAAAGTGTGGTAGCCCTGATCACAGCAGAATCTGAATACTATGTATCAGCCTTGGCAGTAACAGATCTTATGTACTCAAGTGGTGTGATGTCAAATTAAGGCACTAAAATTTCAAGCTCTCGTTTATTTGTTCGACAGTCAAAGTGCAATCAGTTTAATCAAAATTTTTGAAAACTGAGGTCTAAAAACATAGATACTCGTGTTCATTTTATTAAATATGCAGTATTAAAGGGAATGGTTTCAATCTCTTATGCCTCAACTGATTACAATGTTGCAGACATTTTTACAAAAAAAATTATCGCCTCAGAAACATAAAGACTTTAGGGCCAAATTGAGGTTTATCTGAATTTTGTATTTAATATGGATTTTCGTTTTATATTCGTCTTCTTAATTTTTGCAGATCCAAGTTTAGACTTCGAATTGCAATTGAGGGGTGTGCTGATATTAATTTCTTGTGTTAGAGTGTAATCTATATCATTCTAAAAGGCTACACTATCTACTAGTACTTTGTACTGATCAGGGTAATAACAAATAACTGCTTACATGTGATTATTTTCATGTGCTACATAAACCTTTAATAAAATAACAATTAGTCTCTTATTGCCCTCTTACACCCGGGCAACATCAGGTATTTCTATTAGTGGTTTATTAATTCCCTTCAAAAAGCAATGTCTGTTGCAAAAGCAAATGAGTTCTACATAAATTTAACTATTTAATTTTATACATTTCCCATGATCTACAATTACAGCTGACATGCTAGTTCTATTATGTATTATATTTTATGGCAAAACACCAGCACAAGTACCATCCCTTGTGGGAATCGAACCCATGACCTTTAGATTAGAAGTTCTTACACGCTTTCTACTGCGCCAAAAGGACTTATGAGAGTTGCTAGATTTTTTAATAACTTTGTAAGTTAATGTGCAAGTTACTTTAAATACCTGTGAGATGGCTTTAATGCTGAAAGTTACTTCTATGGATACTAAATCTTAAATACAGACATTTATATTAAAACCATATGTACTTACTTATATATATATATATATATATATATATATATATATATATATATATATATATATATATATAAGCATTCGCCTCTGAAATAAACTATTGGAAAATACCACTGCCCATAGCACATGTATGGTATAGTACACACTGGCATTCCAGCTGCCAGTTAGATTGTCTGTGATTAGTAGAAGTTAATTAAAAATATAATAAAAAGTTATTACTTTTCAATTTAAGTTATACACATTTAAAAAAAACGTTCCTAATTAGTTAATGTGGTCATATTACAATGAGACTCTTACGTTGGTGGAAATATCTCCTGTACTATTCTTGTAACTAGAAAATTATGAAATTTACACCAATTTGATGTATTGCAAGTGAAGTATCTAAATTAATGACTGACGAAAGCGGGTTTCTTGTTTTATACACATAAAAGAGCACGACTTTACATATTATTTACATATTTACTTTCCTAGCTCAATTAACAGTGAAAATTTCTTACATACACTTGCGAGGCACGTACAGTAAATATCGGGTTATTGGTAAACGAACAACAAGATACTGATATAACTAATGACATATATAACCTCTGCATTGGTCCAAACGGTTTTTAATAAAGTTCCCAAAAACTTAGATGGGAGGTGGTAGGCCTTGACGTCTAGCTGGCAGTAATAGTATCAGGGATAAAATTAGAAACATACGCAAAAGTTGTGAGAAAACTACAAATACGCACAGGCCTTACCAGGAACCCTAATGCCAAAAACTCGTACCGCAAGCTATCGTGAAATACACAGCATTATAGAGGTCGTATTAGGAGCATCAATTTGGTATGTAATCAGTATAATGTTTTGAATTATAGGGTTCGCAAATATAAAATATTTACGGTGCCATTATTTTTAAAATACGTATCTGAGTCACTTTATATACGTAAGTTTACATAGCCAAACGTAGCGCAACTCGTGTGAAGAATTTGGTGGAAATTTGTTTAATTTTTCCGGAAAAATTGCGAAATGTTCAATTTACTCACCTGGCACTATTTTGCAAAAACTCAGTCAAATAAGAATTTCTGTATATCTAAGTGATGCTTGTTATGAATACTGTTAGTGTAGAAAGATATGGTTAAATGCTGTTGAATAAATTTATATATGATTAACGTACTAACATAAATTATTTATATTTACGCCATTAGAAAATGGCCTGCAGTGCCTAAACAATTAATGTGTAGTAAAGTTTATTACGGCTGTTCGACTATATATTACAAGTTCTACAAATTGTATAACTATTATAATTACTTTTCTGTTGTTAGTATATTTATAAATAATAGGTTGGTTTTAAAAGTTTTTTACGTTAATTTTACTTTAACTTTTTAGTCTCCAACCATGTGTTTGTATCACGAATATGACTTTCTCTTGCTAAGAAAGATCCCCATGATGTATAGTGATCACCAGTAGATCGCTTTCATTCCGACACAGGACAAACTGTAAAGGCAACCTGTAATATTAGTTTTCAGAACCATTTGTCGCTACAAAAGAGGGCACGCGCACAACAGCAGTGACACTTCTAATCTCCATTTTAATGTTACTCGATTCTGTAAAACAAACTCAAAACGACGTTTACTACTTTTAGTTGTAGAGTTACAATTGCCACCTTCCGGCTCCATCATCAGATCAGCTCTGTGGTTTCTTCACATTGTATTGCCAAAGGAACTACTCGTGTATGCCAAATTTCAGCCAATTGGATAACTGGAAGTGGCTTAACATACATACACGTGAAGTTACATGAACGCTTGTAACTTTCGGTTCCTTCATGCCATCAGCTAAGTGGCACCTTCACATTGTATTGTTATCGGAACTACTCATATATGCCAAATTTCAGCTCAATTGGATAACGGGATGTGGTTTAACATATATACACGTGAAGTTACATGATAGCTGGTTACTTTATGCTCCATCATCAGATCAGCTCACTGGTACCTACACATTGTATTGCCATCGGAACTACTCATGTATGCGAAATTTCAGCTCAATTGGATTACGTGAAGTTGTTTAAAATCGACTTGCAATGTTTCATTTGAACATACAAACAAACTAACAAAGCAAGTTAAATAAAAGCTTGTAATAAAGCAATGTACTGTCGCGTTCAGTGATTGTCGCAGTTACATTTGTAATAGTAAGGGCTAATAAACGTTTGTAGTAGGGAAAAGCCGAATAGTTTTAAAAGGAAACCGGATTCGGAGCCGGAGCTTGCATGCCACTATAATGTTACGTCACCGTCCGCCATCTTGGAGCCATGTGACTTTGATCTTGAAGTTTGACCCGTGACCTTAACCTTGACCCCTGTGACAACCTACCCCAAAAACCCAAAAATTGTGAAAATGCATTAAAAAGTTGTAAAAATTTTATTACGAAATTAATTTTATTATAAATATTTTAAGAATTTAAAAAAGCGATAAAAATCGATAAAAATTATAACCAAAAATTTATACAAATGGTTTTAAATTTATCGATTAGTTTAAAAACATATATAAACTTTGAAAAATAGTTTTGAAAATCAGTTATTTAGATTTATTAACAAATCGGTAAAGCATTTTATTATAAAGTTTTTCCCCCAGCAGTCATTTTCCCAAACAATTTCCCTTTTGCTAAAAAAAATAATTTTTTTTCCCTTTATTCCCTAAAAATTTTATTACAAAATCGTTAACAAATATATTAAAAAAATTGTTTAAAAATCGTTTAATTTCCAGAGGTAATTAATTGGATCCGCTCCACCCCTCACCCACACTAATAAGTCACGACCATGCGATCACATTCACCTATACTCATTCTACCATCTTGTTCTTTTATTCGTCGTATGTGTACACTTCTCGTCACAAAAATGAGCGATCTCGTGTAACTGAACATATTTCTAAGTCCCCTTCGGGTATGATAGGCAGGCTGCCCCCTCCCAAGTCACAGGCGTGTGCCGCGGACTGGGCGTAGCTAACTGCTGTAGGGACACATGGTTTTGGAGTAAAAAAGCATACAACACACGAATAATAGTTCTATGAGCTCAGTTTTGCCCGAATATATTCCAACACATTATATGTTATGGAGTTAAAGTAAATAAGTAATGAAAATCTTCGGAATAATGAACTAGTCTGTAACAGAACTTAGAAAGAAATAGTAATTGATAAATTTGAACAGACCACACTGGACCCCTGTAAAAATCTTCTCCCAAATCGTGTATAATTGTAAATATGAAAGGAAGTGTTATGTTTTAACTCCTCTTGCCAACACAAGCGAGATTGAAAACATTAAGTGATAATCACTAAAAACATTAAATAATACATTATATTATGGAATAATGTTTTCATAGAGACCATTATGAAATGTTTCGGAATCAATGGCCTGTAGTCTAGACTTCATAGTTCAATGAATACTCAATCAACTACTGTATATTCACTGCATGTTTCTCCAGTAAGTGGCCAATATTACTCCAAAACATTCAACACGTGATCTCAAACTTATTTCGTCGCAAGTTTTGTATTTACTTTGCACATTCCTGAGTGAGCTTAGTTAAATGTAATACAATGCAAAGCTGGATTACGTCTACAAGTGCGTAAAGTTTAGCTTGCCCTCAAAATAATCGGCGCAGTTTTCCTGTTCTATGTGATGATACTGAGGAGAATTTGCTTAAACAATTTTGTTCCGTACATAAAGTAAAGGCATATTTGCATGCACCGTGATGATTAGCCAACATATCTTAACCAAATTTATATTCCAGGAAATAATGATTGATTATTACATTGTTATAAGGCGAAATTGCTACAATATTATCTGCGGGAGTGATTATAGTTTCTTGAAAGATCTACGGTAATTTAAAAATACTTAAAATATTCACCTTTAAAAACATAATAACATAAATAGAATACATGCAGCTAGCTACTAACTATGTTTCGAAGGAAAATATTCGCATTAAATAGATGTCATAATTATTACATTAACCATTCGCATTAAACCGAGGACTTCATGATGCCTGTCGCATTTAATATATGGACGTATGAAACCAAATGTCAATAAAGATTACGTATTAAGTTGTAAATCAGTTTTTATTTTCCACTATACACAAACTGAAGAATAAATAAAATCGCTTACATGTTTCCTGTGTGTGTCATAGCACAATTACGAAGAGTATAAAGAGCTCCCTTTAGGGCAAACAACCTATAGTACCGTTACTTCTAAGCTGGACAGTTTTAACTTGGCCTTCTTTTGTCGTGATGTGGTTTCTCACTCAACTGCCTCCATTGGCGATTCGTGCTAGTAATGGTAAGTAACCCAATTTGAAATACTTGGTGGCTGGCAGACACCACACCGACCAGGCACCTAACTGATTGGTGGATACAGGTGTAAGTGTGCTTTCTAGCAATTGGCCTCTCAATGTCTCACGCCATGTTATGCGAATGCTAGTCACTGTGGGGTACACAGTTACCATTTGTTTAATAATATGTCACATTGTGATCACAAACTTGATTCGCCAACATTCTATATATATTTTTATAAATCGTTGTCTGTCCCACAACTACAAAATAAACAAAACATGTCCCTATTTGAAAATTGCGTTATTTTGGACTGTCTTACACACCAAACATTCACACATATAAACATTTACTAAATAAATGTTTCTTTTGCGAACTACCTTCCTTACGTTATAAGGTATTGCAGATTCTAAGTTCAAGTCCTAATTGGTTAAACAAAACTGAAAATTTAACCGTCGAAAGACCTTATTCAGTGATATGGACAAAGCGATAGAGAATTGTTTTTTCTTTATAACACATCTACCAACATCTGACTTAGACGTCTCCGCACTTTTACCTCAGACATACCAAAACCGGA